TTTTTTTTTTTTTGTTTTGTTTTGTTTTGTTTTGTTTTATACTGTTGATGTCCTTACACGTTCTTTAAAGAGTTGGATTGACCGAACTCGGTACTAATTGTTTGGAATCCTCAGTCGCACTTATCGCCATTAGATGACTTGTAAATCCTTAATCTACGGGTAAAAGTTGATATTGCTGTTATTGTTTGACACGGGGTTGGAAAATACCAGTATTTTTGCAATTTTATTACTTACTGATCGACTAAATTTCTCTCATTAGTTAATTTGTTTTTGTTGCTAGATTTATGCAAATTAAATTAAAGTAGTCTGCTCTGCGTGTGGGACAGTCTTCCGCTCTTCCACCCCTCTTCCCCCGCTGAGCAGGAGCGTTAGAAGACACTGGATTATCTGGTTTTGTATGCGCTTTGTTCAATTCATTTTTGACTTCTCCCTTTCGAAATTTTGCAGTGATTTGAGGATTTTGATATTAAGACTTGTTCATTATGAACTAGATAGCCTGACAGGTTGACTTCGACAACTCATTTCAACTTCTTGTTACCTCTAGGACAGTTGGGTTCCTAGGCATTGTTTTTTTGAATATATTGTATGGGTTTCAGAATTACACTTTTGATGTCTTATTTGCCATGGTATATCATGCTATTTGAAATAAAAGACTATATTATGATTATTGTTTTGCATATCACACAGCAGCTTGTTATTTTGTAGGGTATTATATTATTTTGTATTGGATGGGATTCACTCACAACTTAAGCGAGCTGATTACTGAAAAAGTCTTGGGAGTGTGTTTACCTGATGTAGCAGTTGCGTGTTGAGGAAAATGAGGGAGATGTCTGGATGCTCCACAGCTAAGCATTGGTAGTGTATGAGTTTTGGATTTGGCACTGGTATTACGGGTGAGATTTGGCGTCCCTGCGAGGTGGTGTTTTGTTTGGTTGTCTTCTTGTGAGTTGAGGTTTGAGGGGTCGTGAAAAAAGTCTGTTTTACGATGGTAGGCTTGGGTTTTAAAGCTGTGGGTGTGGCGGGTAATGGCGGTCGAAAGTTGAGGTTTGAGTGCGTCTTTTCTCCAAATTAATGTTTATTGAATGCACTGAATACTCCATAATCGGTGTTCTCCGTAATACTCCATGAAAACAAAGTTTTTGGCATTGTTGAAGATGGCAGTAAATAACGTTACGGACGTCAAAACAACACTGCTAAAGTGCTTTAGAATTTTTCAAGATGAAAAATTTTTCAGCTGCGAGGTCACAGTGAATAGTCGTATGGAAAGCTTTGGTAGTTTAGTGTGTTTTTTAATAATTTCGTCAAAAGATTTACTGCAAATGCCATTTCAAATAGGCGTAAATGGAGTAATAGTGATTGCTGTTTAACCAAAATTTTTTTTTGCAGTGCTATAATTCTCTTTACGTTTTTTTTAAATAATGATTATTGAAATTATGCTGTGTTTGTGTATAAGCAATATTAGGTTTTTAAATTTAAGTACTGAAGTTGATTTTCTGCAAACATAAAATTACTGAGGTTAAATTTTTCGGCTTTTATTTGATTGACAGTAGCTGAATTGCATTTTGCTATAAATGTGGAAAATAATTTAGAAAAAAACTGGAAGTTCTACCGTATCGGTTCAACAGAAAAAATAAAATTTCAATAGTAGACAGTTACAAAGGAATTGTACGGCAGTAAAATAATTATTTGATATTGACCGGTTCATTGTTGCTAATAGTTTAGTAATTGAAAATGTGAATTTTTGTGCTGTAATGAGCAAAAACGATGGTATATTGGACAGTAAATTATAGTAATTGTAATACGGTGGCCGACTGAAAGTGGGAACGGTAGTTGTTGTAACGGTAATGATACGTGTTTGTATCTACAGTAGCAAAAATCTTCTTTTTTTGTCAGCTGATGATTTCTTGGATAAATTGGAAACAAATTAATAAGATCAAATTTAATGCAATAACAACTTTTAACAATTGTAACAATAAATATTACTGTACCTTGATAATTACCGAAATAAACTGTACTAGTAATTGGACAGGGTTGTGTGATTTTGTATGTGATTTCTGGTTAACCTGTCGAATAACCGGGAATTTACTCCTGTTTCGTGCAGTAGATTTTGACAACATTAAGCTTTTAACAACATTAAGCAACAAAGAGCAAATTGAAAGGATGGAGCGAGGATTACTTTGGCGTTTAACGGCCAAAAATGAAACTTTATCCTATAGCTGTGGTTATGAGTCAAAGGCGGCTGCAGTCCGTCAAAAGTGCTCTAAGTTCTTCTGAAAATTATGAATAAACCAGATGGCAATTCCTGGTAAAATATATGGAACCTAAATCAAGAAGCCGGAGATACATTTGTGAGAGAGGACAATAAAAAATTATATTTATTTTTGTAAGGATACAAATTAATAATTTTTCGTTTTTCAGCAGACTGGAGTGACCGTGACGTTTAAGTATTTGCAATTGACACTACTGTTTAGAGATCGTCCGCACCGCTATTCTGTAATCATGGATGTCAAAAAAGGGACTGATACGGTAGTGTACCATAATCAAACTCAATTAATAACGGTAAAAAGAATCATAAGCTAGTGTCCAAGATAGAGAGGATTATAATTTTCTAATTTTTAGATGAGTTTAAGGGGTATTTATGTCAGTGGTCAAATTTTTTACTTCCAATTTGATACAAGCATAAAAATGTTAACATACAGAGGCAAACAGCGCTAAAAATTTAAAATAAATCTTAAGTACACTAAAATTAATTGTTTTTTTGTCTAATAATCTATAAAAAGTCAAAAAAAAAAGTTCAAATTTAATTAGAACAATAGGATAAAAATATGGAAAAAAAACGAATCTAATTATTTTGAATCTTACTGCTATTTCACTCCAGTGCACACCAAGCTTCGGTTTCAACGTTAAATCAGATGTTTCTCTTCACAGTTGATACTGAATTTATGCACTTGATTATTTCTGTATCGTTGGTTCGGTTCACAGTAAAAATCGCAAATATTAATGAAAACATCAATGTTTTCTCAAAATATTGTAACCGCGGTCCACTTCTTTTAATCTACAAATTCGCTGAGTTGTTACGCTTCAACTCAATTACAAAATTAATTCTGCTGATTGAATAGCTGCTTGAGTTATTCGGCTATTCGCAGTACTTTTCCTTTTCTAGCCATCTAAGTACTTCTTCCACTGCGGTTTTTTTTGATCAATTTATAAAACACTTTTTCTTTTGAATCTGATTCAAAATAAAAAAATAGAACAGTCTTTTGAATAAAAAGAAAAAAAAAAGCTTGGGATATATGGAATGCCAGATTGAAACGTTTTAACATCAAAGACATCAAGCAACCCAGTAAAAATTCAGGCTCATCATAACTGTAGTCAGTCATTAAATAATTCCTATTCCATATGTATTAGAAAATTTCACCGAATATATATCGATAAACTGCTGCAGGATGACCGATAAAATCAAAAGTTTTTTCTGGTAGTCATCGACAATTATAAGCATGAAGACATCAGTAATGCAACATCTAACAGCCACAAAATCTGTTTCAAATATCTGAACCTACATTTCGCATACCGCTGATTTTTTCTCACGCTGAACTGATCTACTCACTAGCGAACAATACATACTGTAAGGGAGGAGAGTTTAGGGCTACGACGAAAGAGAGTGAAGAGCCGATCATGTCTCAATGCAACGCAAATATTTGCTTCGGAAACAGTTGTCTGCTTATAATTTCATGTTATCGATTTCAAATTATTTAAACTGAACAATAACTGTTGTTATTTTAATTGCTTTACCAATTATCACTGTTTTCTGTTTTAATCGGCTACTTCTGTTTTTTAGTTCTTGAGTGAACACATCCTGTCTAAAACACTGCAGTTTTTGTCGAACACGTCGACGTATTAATAAGATCACAATAGTGAAAAAAGACGTTCAAGCACTATTTTATTATAAATCGCGCAACAACAACTGTAACAAACAGAACCAGTTAACAACTGTAAATTCCCTTCCGACCGACTACAGTATGCAATCTCTTCACAAATCATTTGGAAGCATTTTTCTCCTGCGTAATGCCCGCAAAATGTAATTTCTGAATAACCAAAATTTGTTCCAAATTTTCTTCAAAAACCATTGAAAGAACTGGAGAAAACCAAAAAAACCAAGGAGTATTCAAGACTTTTAACTGTCTCACTTACTCTTTTCCAAAGCTCTGCAAAAGTCTCCATCTCCTCCTCAAGTAGGCACAAAAAAGTTTCCAACAATATGAAGACCGAGTTCCATATTTGGCAAGTCAACTACATATTTTATATGCATGTCAGCCCAGGGACCGTCTTTGATGATGAAATGTGCTGGCAGATGGACAGCTTGAAATAAATCCACTCACGAACCAGAATTTATTGTACCCAAAAACAGTGACCAAAAACACTAAAATCTTGTACATTAATCCTTCATTTTTTCTTCAGCTTCTGCAAACAGAAATACGCTGAAAGTTGATGAGTAATTTGCTTGTTTACAAACACTCTCTAGAAGTTACTTTTTTGCAACTCAAAATAAATTCTTTTTAGTACAATAAACGTGGTACAATTTAATTCTATAGTGTAGTTGTACGGAAACCAAATAGAACCAATACAAGAAAATATTTGGCAACACTAAAAACTAAATAAGAATTGTTATCCATTGAACGGAAGCCTAATTAAAACATAACCTCGAAAATTAAGCATCAATCTTGGCTGACAGTGAATAAGACAAGAAGCGAAGGAACCAAACAAAGAAAAAAATAGTGGATAAAGCCAAAAATGCCACTTGGTGAAAGAAGGAAGTTTCAATGCACATAAAATTAGAAATAAAACGTATTAAGTCAGACAAAATTAAAATTAATACTTATATCCAATTATGACGGTTACATTGCTTAAGAGCATTTCTAAAAAAATCTATTAACGTCTGATTCCGCAGCAGTTTAATCGTGTGGCAAAAAAATAAGATGATACAACATCAGGAATGGAAAAAAAATGGCAGCATTCTGTGAAAGAACAACGAGATATTGATAAATCCACAAAAAAGTAATACATCACTTGCTTGTTTCACCAGAGCGATCAACAAGACAATGAGTATACGTAGCAGGCTGGAAAACCATCTCAATTATGTCGCTTTCAACTTTTTTCTGTCCGTAGCGATTTTTGAGAATCTGAAAAACTTGACGCGATTAACGACAAGAGATAAATCTACTTCTGGGAGGTGTAAAGAGGAGCGGTTACATATAAAAATTTGCGATATTTGCGTTTGTCTTTTTCATCTCTCCTTCGCTGTATAGCAAAAATTGTGTCTGCTTCTTGAGTAACCCTTGCGGAACCCCCGAAATGCTGGACATCAAGATCAGCATCTGCCTGAAGTAAATATTACCCTGATTACGATCAACTTGAAAAAATCTCACAGTCCATTTTCTCCAATGCAAGAGGTCTTACTTCCAGTTTGCGGGGATGTACAACAAGGGTAACATGTGGCCCATAATCAGTCGCAATTCCTCGAAGTAAGCTCACAAAACGATCCTGAAATGCGTAGGCACATGTCATCGCGAAATGCAAGTATATTAGCCATAAATAATCTTTAACAATAGATCACATATAATCACTTAATCTTACATATTAACAGTAAGCAATAAAATTCAGATATCTTAAACAAAAAAAAGAACCTGCTGATTGTACTTTTCTAAAGCTGTTGCCTTTTCGTTATTCAACGTCGCTAAACCAACCAAGAACTGAAGGTTATCAATAACAACATGCTGGATTCCACTTGCAATAACCTGGTGCCTTATTGCCTAAAAATACCAAGAAAGAACATTATGGAAATGAAAAAGTAGAGAAGTAGGCAACATTAAGTGTAAAAAGAGCATTGCACAAAACTTAAACTGCCTACAGACGCTATTTGAGTGATGGTTTTATCTCGGAATTCATCCACTTTCATGATAATCAAATCTCCTTTCGTTCTTTCAAAACGGTCTAGCCACATTTCAACAGACGGATGGTGTTCAGCACGATAAAGTGGAATTCTGCAATTGACTAGAATCAGTGGTAAGATAGCAAATTTTGCAACAAAAATAGGTGCAGTCATCATCCAAAGCTAAACAACATAAACAGCCCTACTCCAAAAAACAACTTTTAAAAAGTGATTACCGGCTCAACCTACTGTGAAAGTAATGCACACCAAAGATGAACAAAAATGCATCTGACACACGAACAGCAAACACGAACTTCTGAGCCATGCAATTTCAAGCAAGACATTGTATGCATTTAGAGCTCATTTTCTGGTGTTCATTACTTTATGAACTCAACCAAAGCAAAATGACGGCAACAAAATTAGCCTTCCAGACAAAGCCAGCTATAACAAAAAATATTCCCAATATATGCCGCCTGAATTAGAAGTGCTCTTGAAAACGCCAGAACACAGCAACGTGTGTCAAAAAATCAAGCTCACGGTATGCCGTTGCGTGTTGTTCGCAAACGATCAAGATCGCGCAAATAGAAAGGACTGCAGAATTATAAAAACAAGTTAAACAAATATCTTATCTTTATTCAGCCTATGATTTGAATATTCTATCTAGTAATTACTTTAAAAAAAACTACTGCTGTTACTTACCAGATTCTAAACTTCAAACTATTTGAACTACTCACTAAACGTATAACCAAAAGTGGAAACTTACGCTGCATACTGCACTAGCATCCACTTCAGTATCTTTTCATCTGGCATTTCGAAACTGCAGAACAGAGTCCGAACCTCAAACGAAAATTGAGTAAAGTACTAAGAAGAAGAAAATAAATGATTTTACAAAAAAACTTACCCCCTGCGAAAGTAAATCCAGTGAATATTCGCAAAGAAACGTTGTTTTTCCGAAGCCGGTTCCGCCTGTCAAAACTGTCAATTCGCTAGGACGGAAGCCATAAAGATATCGGTTTAACAAATCAAATCGTTTCCACTAAAACAAATTTAAAATTAATAGTTAGATACGTAGTTCCAAAAGAAAGAATTTTCAGGAGCAATTATTGAGAATCAAGATAACTAATAAACCGAAAATCAATTCAGAAGACGTAAAATAAGTCGCACCTTTGATAGTAAAATAAGAAGAAATTCGGTGATAAAGAACAAGAACGTTTTATAGTTCACAATTTTACCTGAGCAATCCCACACTGTTTAGTTCGGCTATTGATAATTTCTAACTTGAGATCCTGACGTACGTCAATCATTGAACGGAATCCCTTCCCACGGACACGCACTGCATCCTCTCGTATTGCCTTATTTATCTCCCTTCTAGCATCATTCCGCAAAAGTTCTATAGGTCGCTCTTTACACCTTAAAACGCTGTCATCGAAAGGAATAAAATGGCAAAATAACTAACCATTAACAGCCTAATAAGTCATATTGTCAACCTTTTTGGAGAATAAAACTAAATGTAGAACTCTCTAGCCCTGCACTGTTTATCAGTTTTTACCAGAAATTAAACTGAAAAAAGAAAAAACCTACAACACAACATAACACCGATTGGCATTCAGATACGACGCAAGGTCTTTCGCGTTCTTTTCATGTACATGTGGAAACCACAAATAAATTATGTCAAAATCTTCAAGGTATGGTAGTACGCTGAAATAAACATTGAAGGATGACAATATAAAGTTTCCCAAACTGGCAGATAAATGACGACAGATACCGTAAAGTGTAACAAAAACAAAGGAAGCGCAAAACAACAAAATGAAGCGAGCTGTCAAGTAAAACAAAGTTTTATAAACCCTTCTCTACCTCTTGTCCAACTTTTCGCCTTGTGGAAGCGCAACTGCTAACATTCCACCAGTAGCCTCATAAACGGCCAATGCATCGCGTTCATTAGTTGTCAAAATTATTCGATTATCAGCAGCAGTGGCCATATGGAAACCGAAAATGCCAGAAAATGGCACAATACTGGAAAAAGTTTCTTCATTTGAATTATTTATATCGGTAAGCGAACGAGTGACCGCAAAAAATTACAAATAAACAAATAAATCTACATTTATAACGTTAACTTATCATGGCAATATGTAAGGGAAGACTGGAGGAAGCAGGTACGACAATACCAACCCTGTGTCATCCGGTTCGGGAAAATTTTCCTTTTCTAAATGATCACCAATTCTTCTAATTAACTTGAGTCCACAGGGTATTCGAGCCCGACTGCTCGGTCCTACAAAAATAAATTACTTGTTGGTATAAAAATTTTTTCACAAAAAAAGGCTACATTTACTGTAAAGCTGTGAAGCTGTTCAGGAAATAGCTACCGATTTTGCAGAACAGAAGTGACAAACTACTCTTGAAAGAGGCGTATCTAATTTCATCTCATTTCTAACTTCCCAGCGCATTCAATCAAGACGCTGAGCACTCTTCAGTGAAGAAACTCCTCTACTAAATCACATTTCCTATAAGGAACGACAGTGTCATACGCACCCTTCCAAAAATAGTTAAAAGATAAAACAGCTCTAGCCACCAATTGAAGAACAGGAAATAATGAAAATGGTTCATCCAACTGTAGAGAGTAGAGTGATGAAACTGATACAGATACGTCCAAAACCGATAAAACGAGGTTTAACTTCATTTGATTAAAATTTGTCGACGGCTTACCTACAGAGCTGCAACGAGTCACTTTAAAAGACCTCACTCTATATCTCCTACGACGCTCCCTTAAACTTTCAATTTTCAGTAAGTTATACCACACCTACGCTAAAAACTACAACCAAATGCTACAAAAATCTTCACGAATAAACGGAACTTAAAGCAAATTTAATGACTTAGTCGGGGAAGCAACGGTCAAACAAGTTTGAGTGATGAGCTTGATTCGTGAAAAGGGAGTAACTGGAAAAGCAAAAAAAAATACGTGTAGTGCTTAGGTATCAACTATAACGAAAAGCACATGGAATTGTTGTATACTTCGTGTACTCTAACAACCAGGTTTCAGAATTGGAAAACAGATATCATAAGAATAAAGACACTTAAATTAAAACATGTTAAGATGAGGAACCTTGAGCTAAATTCATTTTACAAATTTCTCAGATAGCTACTATTTGAATTTATTACACAGCATTTATTTGTAAATCTCGAGAAAACATTTCACCAATTATCCTGCAGTAAAAACACAATATTATAAAATCTAAAACGTTTTTACTGATAAAATTTGTGTAACAATCTTACAGTGGTTTTCATTTTTTGCAATTCTCTAATAACTTTAATTTTGAGCTTTTCATTTACAAACAAATACAGCAACTTTCTTTCAAGTTCCATTTATGTACAAAAACCCCGCTCTGAAAATTTTTTAGTCGAGCAATTAGTAAATGGCATAAAATGCAGCTAATTTTTGTACTTAGTTAAAGCAACCTCGGAATAAGAAGCCTGAAGTAGGCAAAAGCTATTGCTAACAAGTCAAAAAAAGAACCTTCACAAATATAACACGTCTTTCTACCAACCTTCATCAAACTGTACAAATCCTTTTTACTAAAAAAAAAATCGTCTTCAAAACAGTACAACAAAACTTTAAGCAGAAGCCAGTCTAAAACTGCTTGGTAGCAAAAAAGTTGCCTACGAATTTTCCCTAATTTTTAAAAAGTACCATTTTCCCAAATTATTCTTAAAAACAAATATAGAGAAAAATTATGCTTAAGCTGCATATTCTGGTAAAGCACAAAGGTGACTGAAAGGTAGCTAAGTTTGTAACTACTAAAGAAACAAAAGTGGTAAACTACTCCGAACAGAGTGAACCAACTCTCTC